GTCGGGTCAACTGGAGTCGGCAAGTGATTTGGTGGGCGAACGAGCTCTACACACAATGGAATTCTCATCACCCTTCGAGGAGGAGGAGGGGGGAGGCACGAGTGCAGCGCATGTCACGAGTACGTTGGAACCCTCGTCACCGGAGAATGTGGAACCGGTAGAGGAACCGGAGGTGACTATGATGCCAAGAGCAGAGCCGGAGATTTCAGAGCTCTCAATGACGGTGAGTTTGTCGGCCACCCCAATTCCCCTTCCACATCCCATCCACACCGAGTTCAACAATCTCATCCACTTCTTTATCAATTTGTCAATTTAAACAACTAATTAGTCTCTTTGTACTTACTCAGGAGCAATCGCAATCTTTTGCTGTGGCGGAGTCTGCGATTCCACCATCAAGCGAGCAAACTGATGCGCTGATGTCCTCAGTGGATGTGACAACAACTCCAGTCATCGATACGACGAATCAGGAGGACAGCGAGACAGCCGAGGTTGAGGAGGAGAAGGAGGAGGTTGCGGAGTCATCTAGTCCCCCGTTGTCAGACTTTCCACTAAGTGAGAACCCTCATCCCCACGAGGGTGAACCAAAGTAGTCATTCAGTCAGTCCACGTGTTATGCATTCGACACTGGTCTTTTTCTTTGCGTTACTCCTCGTCCCCTTTTTTTGCTGTTGTCTCCCTCCTGTTGCGCCATTTTTGCTCTTGGACAATGATTTATCACATTTTCAACTGTTATCTTATCTGTCTACCCACTTATCTACCTAACCGACCTGTCTAACCATGTCCAAGCATCGTCTATCAATCACTGCTTCCTGTTGAGTCAACGTCAGAATTACGCCTTTCCAGTGCGACTTGTTCCTCGTTGAAGACGAGTTGGGGCGGGTATGACTCCGGTAGTGCGGAAAGGTCAAGTCTGTCCCAGAACTGCTGACTAGTCCACCGTTCTAGACATCGTTTATTAACTGTAGGGCTGCGTGGGCTGTTTCACGGCCTTGAAATGGGATGGTGACAGTGTGAGGGACAGTGAATTGAAGGTCGACGAGGGTTCCACTGGTGCCATTTTAGCGAACACTGGCGCTGGATGAACAAATTCATGCATTTGGGCGTTGAGTGTCCGAGATGGATGCAGTTGCACTAATTTTTATTCTCACACCAAAAATGCCTCCCATGTTTGGAAGAATGGGTAGAGAATTGATTCATGGGGAATCGGGATGCCTTTTTTTTTAAAAAAAAAAGTGCTTTGAACATTCTTCCGCTGAGGAAGTTCTTGACGGGACACCTGCACGACGATGTGATGTAGTGCAATCACAGCTTTGAAAAGGGAAGTTCGTGGTTAGCTGGAGGTGGAGTGTCAGGATTTACTGAGAGATCCTCTATAATATCCAGTCGTCCATGTTCGGATGAATGAGTTAGCCTCAAATTCTTGCTATCGGACGTCCCATCTTAGCTTTGTTCCATTGCCAGGTACTTCCTTGTCAGAGGTTTTAATGTGAGGCATTGCGGATTTGACCTTTGTGGTTGCTTCAATCTCCACCTCAGGTAAATAGGGAAAGTAGAGCGAGTCGTGAAAGCGGCAACCCAAACAACCTCGAAGAAGGCTATGTAGAAGGCTGCAAAAAACGTCCAGGTATCATGAAGTGATTCATGGCTACTGTTAATGGACCAGCAAAGTGGGTGGAATGAATGGAAGGGCCTGCTAGAACTGCAACAACGCAACCACGCAGGGCGTTTCGTGAGGCCCCTGATTATAGGTCTTCTGACCTCCGTGGTGCTAATTATACCTGACAAGCCGTTGTTTCCACCGCGTCAGTGTAGCCAAGCCACTTCACAGCCCACATCAG